TCCAAGTTTGTCGAATGTACGGCAAAAATCAAAATGCACTCCCACAGAGTGCATTATCAGGATTTTTAGCGATTGTCCAATTGTAAACAACCTTTGGTAATTGAGTGCAGACTGACTTTTCTTCATTCATTAACTCATACCGGTTAGGGTCCAAGAATTTAGACGAGCATATCTTGACTCTGCAGTACCTAGAATTAATTATTAATGTACCGTTTGCTTAAATCTGATTTCCGTCAGCTATAATTATTCAAAGCGGTCTCTTTCAAAAGCTGAGCGTCAGCGAACAAACGTTTATATTTTACTTCAGTTCTCCAGTAATGGAAAAAAAAAAATAGAAAACTTTGCACTTTTCATTAGACAAGACAAATTCGGTTTCGAAGCAGCCCAAAACAGGTTTTTCCTAAATTTTCAAAAAGGTTCTCTAATCAATTATCTGTTACACAAAGAAAAGCGCTCTTTGGAGAAGAAACAGCCACTTGACCTGATATGGAGATAAAGAGAAATTTCTCAAAGAAAGAATGTCCTATAAATTGGGAACGAGAGCTGTACATACTTGGGGTCATATAACGATGATCTCTGGCCTCGGGCATAAAGGTTTTTGCTTGATCGATCCTTGACTAAATGTATTTCACAGTTCTAACTCTTGAGACTCATTAGTATTGTTACGGGATTGTCTCCCAGCCACACATTTTCTACGCCAGTCTTTTGGGCCTGGCATATGGGTAGCATTCTTTCATTTCCAGGAGACAATTTTTTGCTATTTTTCGCCAGATTTTTAGAAATCTTGATATCTAAGATTTTTTCCATTTGCGTTTCTCGTGCGAAAGCTCATGTACTCTGCATCACTGGAGTCTGTAGCGCACTTCAGCCTACTTTCTAATTTTGTACGAACTATAATATAATATGCAATATAATAATCATCTCTCTCTAGAAAAAAGAAACGTTAGCCTTTTTTTAAATTTACGTTAAAACGGCATTCGGAAGGTGCACAATCAGTAGTGCAATGACGCGTGACACTGAAATGAAACGTCACAGAGTTCCCCTACTCGTTATATATTCACTACTGATTTCCAGGCTGCCACAAACATCATTGTCGATTGTGAGAGTGTCGATGCTGAAAACGTGCACCCTTGCTACATAAAATTTTATCACTCATCTAACTGCAATATCCATTGACAACTCTTTACTAAACAAATTAATAATGCGGTTTTGTTGAGAATTGTGCAGGGACTTTGTATTGTACAAGTACAACACTTTGTTTTTTTTTATATTATTATTTATTGGGTATTTTGTTGACATTTGCAAATGAGCTGTTACAGTAACCGAAAAATTGTTCCTAGTGTGATTAATTCTATATCGAACAGATTACCGTATAACTGAGTCTAAAGGGGCCAGTCTTCGTTCAACGTCTAGCGTAGCGATTCCTCCGTAGTCTTCGCTAGTGGCATAAAAATGTTCCATATCGTTGAAACTACTTTGAAGCCTACATTTCGAACTAAGCGAAGCAAATACTTATTCCTCTAGAAAAAATATACATATAATATATACGTTGGATCGTCGAAAAAAAAAAGATGATCCAACCGAAATCGAGGCATCTAATTTTTATACTCCAAAATAGTATTCCTGAAATGAATATGTCCCACTTTTATCGATGACCTTCTGCTGTTTTTCTGGTAACATCATAATCCTATCACTGAAGAAGCCCAGAAATCATAGGATTTCTGGGCGAAAAATTGAAAAAATGACGTAGTCGGCCACTGTAATGATAAAGGACGACACCTTTTCTGTTCACTAGTTCCGGTCGATTTTTTCATTGGCTCGTTGTGATCTTGTTCATCGCTGATCACCAGTATCATTTCGCCAATGGAAAACGCATACGCCAGGATTCCTCACCAAACATATAGCACCCATCCTATCTGGCGTTAGGCTGGACTTTTTTGACACAAATTATGAGCGTATTTTTCTGTCTGTACAACATTGTCGCATGTAGTTCATTATTTATCAGCCGTGATCGACCGCCCTATAAGTAACTCGATTTCGTTGAAGGTCTAATTTCGCCGACTGAAATGCCCTCGAGTAAGTCAGATATCAAACTTTTTTGTATTTAGTTTCTTTGAGATTTTGTTTCTTGGCTACTCCCATGTTGGTCTGGCTCACGTTTCGCAATAGTTTCGTCGACTTCCTTCCGCGGCTGGATTCCGAAACGTCCAGAAAAAAAGAGTCAGATTCAGCTCTAGGCTATTTTTTTCCAGCGACGCATCTTAGCTGTAAATAGCAGAAAGCTTCATATATTCACATAAGGCCGCATCCGTGCCGTTATTGAAACAAAGTTATCATTGGGCGAATTCTAGTGATACAGCTGAAGTTATTTTGGCTATGTTAGCGGTTACGGAGCTCAAGGTTAATGGCATAGAAACTGATACAGTTCTTGGTTCCACCAGCCATTAGTTTTCTGGATAGAGGCTCACTTTTACAATCATGGATCGGTGTTAATACATTGAAAACGTACGCTTAGACGTGCAAGTGTTACCAAGGATTATCGTAGGCGTATAGATCAGCTGAATCTTACGAATCTCTAGTGTTTGTTTCGTCTCGACAGCCTCGTGGATTATATATTACTTTATACTCATCAGTAGATCAGAGGCTTATTAGGCACTGCTGAACGTTCGTGCAGATCGTGCTAAACTCTAACGGTGCTTAAGGCTTGTGTAGTTGGGACAAACATCGTTGATTTTGAAGCCTTGAAACCTACCTGATTGACGCTGATTACTCGCTATGCTACCGAATTTGGCTAGATCTATGGTGCCTGCTTGCAGTTCTGTTCGGCCACACAATGCTGACCAGTTAGCAGTGAAATCATTATCAAGCCATTGAGAATTCGTTTAATAGGAACCTAATAGGACTGGTGCCCGTGGTTCGCTAGTGCTGGAAAAATTCTGTCTAGTATCACCTGCGGCGAACCTATGGGGAGAGGTCTCCTAACATAACGTTGTAGGCAACGATTGGGTTGCTTAAAATCGCTCGAGCGACTAAAGCACACGATTTCGGAACGAGTTTTATGCAATCCCATCCTCATATTTTTCTGTTAGTAGGCTTTAAGTCGCTGACGGTCAAGCCCACATATTCAAAATGATATATTTATTCCGTTCGTATTTTTATGATTAATGTGAGCAATAGTTTTTTGACTTCATGGACTTCTGCGCTGGACGATCAATTCAGCATGATGCGCCCGCTGCGGAGTCATCGGGCTGGCATATTCAGAGCGTCGCCATCGTGACAAATAAGTTACCGCATGCATTTCAGGGTACCTAGAAGTGTCCTGCTATCATCAACCTGTAATCATTCAAACGACCTGCAGTAATATTTTACGGAAAAAAATCCACTTACCCACTTGTTTGGAGAATAAAAAAGGATTCCTTATGCTAAGAGTGGCTACGATTGATTATTACTAGTGTCAATCGTTCCTGCGCCAAAATGACCCAACAAAACTATACATTGTAGATAGTTTCATTGTGTACGACAATACTGCTAAAATTCGGTTCATGATGAAGCGCCCCAGTGAAGCACAGTTTCGTCAAGTGCCTGATCGTTTGGAAAGGCCAAAAGTCCCGATACTGCCATTAGGCGCGGAGCACCTAGTGAGAGCTTATTTTGGCAAAATACGTCGTATCTTTGTCCGTGTAGTATCACGTCATGGAAAATAGTTGTCAGTCAATGTCGATAGCTGTCAATAAGAATTCGTGAATAAATCCATAGGCCAGTAAATAAACGAAGGTAAATCTCCAGATACTAGACTTTCAAAGAAATCGCCTTTTTTTTGAAGAAGACGAGCATATACTTATTGTGTCAACAGTGCTTTTAGCCGGGTTAAAGATATGAAGAAAGACCTCTTGGTCTTTTAAGAAACTTACCTTGATCTTAAAATGAACGTCTAAATTATACTTTTAATATGCGCAAACTTAATAGATGGTGATAAATAGCACATTATTATATAAAGATGAAATCTTCTATGGTGCAATCCGAAAATGGCTTTATTCTTTGCTTGATCTAACGAACGCTTGTTAATAATAATAATCTCAAACTTATATTTCCCGATATGAATTTTTTGTAAATTTACATTTTTTTGAAACCTGTTTACGTGCTTAAAACCTGGATATTCAAGCTGGCGGGGAAGCTCAAGGACAACACAGGAGTCAAATTATTGATCATCCTGAGGCTTATATAGCGTGAAGCTTATATAGTGCTTAATCTCATCTATGATTGTTGACTTATGATTAAATGGCTTACATTTAAGACCCCATTTCCAGTAGGGTTCAGTTGGGTATTACGAATGTAACCAAGCCATTGACGATATAAACTACAGCTGATTTTTTCAAGCCGGAAAGTCTTGAAAACAAATGAGCATACGTACGTTCAAGTTGATCAAAAGGCAGTAATATTAACCATCCAAAATTTCAGAGTAGCAGGGGGGTTGAAGTCATCACAGTATTTATGCGTCCGTACTTAGGGTTGGTTTAGGGAAGACAGACACTCACAGATTAAGAAGGGAGATTTGTGGCAAAAGTGAAATCAAGTCCGGTGGCATCGTTCAGAAGAAGCTGTATGTGCACCCCGCAGTTCCGGTCTAACTACGATATAGATCGCACCTTTTGAGTCCCCCTTGAGAACCCTTCGACCCAATGACAACTGAATAAAAAAGGCTTCAGTAGCGCAAATAATATACACTAACCGGGTAGATCCATAAAACGGTAACTAATCACAAGTTCCTTTCTTCATCGTATGTTTAACTTTAGATGAAATGGGCGACTCAAGTGTTTCATTGCCGCACAGGCATCGTGGGCCTCATCTAACTGATACAGCAAACCGAACAGAAACCGCTGGCGTGTAGTACTGAAGCTGACGCTCCGTAACGTATGCTTGCCCTGTGCGTTTAGGTGAAGTTTTTAAGTAGAGGATTAATTACGTCGTAGGCCATCTTCTAGATGACTTCGAAATGACGGTTCGGAATGATTCAGTACGTTAGAGTTAAAAATCTCTTATGCCAAAGTTAATTATCGCTGCCAAGAATTCTGGAAACGTAATAACACCGAAAACAAGCAGCGTGGATTTTGCTCTCTGGGAGTTTTCCACGCAAACTTATCATATGATAAGCGGACATGCCATCTGGCTAAGGAGTCTCGTCCAACACTGCGCGTTGATTTCCATTGGTAGGAACACTTAGTACTACTGATATAGAAAACATTTAATGCGAATATCTCCTGCTGTTGTTGTTGTTGCAGAAGTTACGCTTATGATCACCAAAAATGAGCAGCCAGAATGAACAGCCGCGCATAGGGAAGACCTCGTTGACCCTATCAAAAACGATCTAGACCCGGTAAATGACCTCGTTGACCCTATCAAAAACGATCTAGACCCGGTAAATAGCGTAGTAGAGAATAGTTTATTTCAAAAGCAGACACGCGGCAAAACCACATACGCTCACAATATTACACACAACTGATACGGATCTATCAGAATCATTTATGGAGCCAATCGCAAACTAAAAACCTTCGTGCTACCTATAACAGCAGCAAGAGGAGCGATACACGCGTTCACGTGATTTCAACGATCGACAACAGTGTCTATTAAACTGAAAAAAAACATGCTTGTAAAGTATTTCCTTACTGCATAAAAATTATGGGCTAACCTGTTTCTGTCGCTGTTTTTTTACAGTTTGGCAGAGCTGCCAGAACTGCGACTTGGGCAAGCCTTAAAGAGATCCGAAGACCACCTAAGACTAATCATGAAAATAGCGATAGGACTATTTTCACACATCTTTACTTATTGTTACGAAAAGAGTAAAATTTCGTATAGGTCGGCATATTAACTATACTGGTCAGGTTTTCAAAAATTTCACGAATGAGTAGCCCCGCTTCCGCAGCAGCTGCGCGCACGCTATTCCACAGTGTCTCGTTCTGCAAATGATCAAATAGGACATGATTTACAACACTCATCTAATAGATGACCTTGTCGAATAAACGAGACGTGAAGGCCTGATAAATGTTCTTTAAAAGAGATCAGTCCGGTTACGTGTTTTCCTTTACAATGTTTCATTCCATTATAAACTATGAAAGTGGGTTTATACTGTTGGTGTTACTGAGCTTAACCAATTCAAATAGCAATTTTCGGTGCATGTTCATCTAGTCCTTTATAATTCAGTTCCTTTGACAGTGGTATTATTCTTTTAAATATTGGCAAATTCTATAAAAATACTAAGAAAATCATTAAAATTATTTGTCAGGTGTCGATGTATGAACGTACCTCCCACTGCCGCACCCAATTTATTCTTTCCTGCGTTGTTTCCATATGAATTCCGCTAACGTTTGTAAGCTCATATGTTAATTGAAGCCTATGCCCTGCTATACTTCCGTTGCTCTGAAAAAAAAACACGAACTGAGACATGATTATAAAAAACAACAATAATAATTTTCAGTAATAAAATACTAAGAAAATAGACGCACAGCCGTCAACAAGCGCTGCTGAATAGAACATGTTCCCTATTTATTCAATTATGTATCAGCTTGGTAGCGAAGTCGACTCATTACACATGTGAAGGGTATGAAGCCATTGCTGGGTCGTCATGAAAGCACGGCCACCCATTGCGTTGATACGTAAAATTAGCCAAGTGAGCTCATTAACATTTGAAATGATTCGTAGTTAGTAGTTAGAAAACACGCAGTACAGCAGGAGATTCGGCATTCGTCTATCAGGAACACATAAATCAATATTGATTGGGCCGAAGTAAAAACCAATTCCAGTAACTGGATAATTATGTTCTTCTTTTGTGTGTAGATTTTCGTAACAACTAAAACAGAGGAGTGGATTTTATCTGAGGTGATGAATGAACTACCCAATTTGAAAAAGCCGCCTCAATTTGCGATGCTCGTGAAGTAGCTTGTATTGAGCCTGACTTCGCAGTAACAAATCTACGAGCATGTTTGCAGGATGATAATATCTCTGGGAAGTACTTGCGGGAGATGAATGCTTGGATCGCGTTAGTTGGTAACATAGTAAAAAAAAACTGAAGCTCCTTTTGGTCAACCCTCTACGGAATTTATTCGTCATGAACCGCAGGTTCGATTTATTCCTACGCTACAACTGCGGTTAAGATACTGACTCTCTATACCAGATATAACAATTACGAACTACCATACAAAAGTTGAAATGCTTATCAGCAGATCCAGGTGTGTTGCATAAGTGTGAACGGCAGTTCGCGTCCTCCGAATGTATCCTCTATGGCATCAGCTGACCTTCGCTTGTGGCATCGTAATGCCGAACTAACATCGATTATTACCCATTGATTACTTGAAGGCCAGTACGTGGCCCAAAGCTCAATAGGTAACGTATTTGCCTGCTAATCTTAGGCACACGTCGTTTAGATTTATTTAGATCGTGGTTTAGATCTGAACCCATAAAGCATAGACACATGGTTCATTTAGTGTTGGGAGCCAATCGTTGGATGGAACTAACTTTAACGGTGATGCCAGATGTAAAACTCGAAAAAAGGCCATTATGCTGTTCAAGATATAAGAAATCCTTCAGCTCAATCTGGCTATCCAAAACTGTCAACTGATGCACGATACGAAATCCTTGAAATATTGGATTGTCGAAAAAGTATTGGCCGTTTTTCTAGCAGGGCGGTTTCCAAGCTACATACATAATGAGTCGCTTTGTTAGAGTGCTTTCATTCAGACTTCATTTCTACAAAAATTCAAAATTTTCTTATTCTCATAAGCGCAAATTCTGCCTGGGTCCATGAAAAAAACTGCTATCTATAGTCAAGATGCGTTATTGGAAGGGACGACCTAGGAATGGCATTCGTTCTGGAAGTTTTTAAAAAAAAAAGATGCTCCTCGTAGTGGCTGACCAATTCCAGAGAAACACGATGGAAAGTTGTGCAAGACCCACGCGTGAACAGCCAATATTTAGTACCAAACATTTTCAAACCATTTAAAGCTGGTTAAATAAGTCCCACTTTTATAACACAGACTGACGCAGGAAAATGAACTCGATCGTATTTTAATCTGCTAAATTCTACAGAAACGCAACGAAGCTGTCCTTCGAAGAGTTCTTTATCGACCGCGACTGACGCAAGATTATACAACAAGATAATAATGTGGATAATCTGTGACAAAGCGTTCATTGACGCCAAAGAAAACAACGCTATGTATGTATGTATTCAGTGGGGTTGGAAAGGAGTCGTGCAGTATGAGCTGCTGCCGCCACCGCCACCGCCACCGCCGCTGCTTGAGAAAGTGACTCGTTTTGGCCTCTTCAGTAATTAACAAGACTTCAACATACAATAGTTAAAGGAATCAACCCGAACCAACGTATAGAAAAGGCCACGTCTTTTACCGTAGCAATGCTACCCGGCAAAAGTCATGAGAATTAAGATGGGATATTTCTATGCATCCGCCGTATATTCGCCCCGACCTTGCACCTTTAGAATAATCTGTGTCGGTCTATGTCTAATGTTCGTTTCAATGAAAAGGATAAAAATCATTTCACACAGGTTTTCGCTCAGAAAGCACAGAAGTTCTACAATTATGGGATGATGGCTTAGCAGAACTATAGCAAAATATATCTAATTTAGTCATATTATTTTAGAATATATATATATATATATATATATATATATATACGAAAGTAAAGGATCAATCGTCTTTCCACTATGCAATATATCGTTTTTGCCTAAGATATTCTATATTTTACATATAAATGCATTCTTACAGTAATCCACATGCTAACGTTGAAGTCATGAAAGAGCATTTCAGCAGTTCCGTTCCTTTTTCCCTGCGCCCACACAGTGTATGCTTTCACAGGTCGTGCGCTTTTAACCTTTAGGTGTACCATTCCAAAGGCATCCTCATCATCATTTATGTCAACGTAAGTTAGGTCACTGGCGTTCATAATTCGCAGCTGTGTAAAAGAAAATCACAATTTATGTCCACACGTTCAAAATAAGAATTGTTTGCAGTAGAATGCATTAGATCTCGGTTATAGTGTTGTAAAAATTAGATTTATAAAGCCAAATTGTCCGATGCCTGATATGGAATCGAATTTTATCTCTGAACAGCCTTCAGCTATACGCCATATAGCTGTTGTTGTGTTATATGCATGCCCTCTTTTTTATCGCCTGGCAGATACAGTACGGCATCAGAAGTTCATTCCCCCACCTGGATATATTTGTAGGCATCTTACAGTATTTACTATTTTACACAGAGTAGCCATGAACTGGCCCGCATCAGGTTCCTTTATTGGACGAGTTCCTCGAGAAAGCTCGTCTGAAGCGAATTTTAGAACTTACGTACGTGTGCACATTATAGCTGGTACCGTTTTTAAATAGTACACCATTATTGCATGCTGGCCTTTTTCACATTTAATTCAATATTGTAATTTTAATTATTCCTAGTACAGCCTTTCGATGCACAGGCGACAAAGTTCCAAACAGCGGTTCTTATGGATTTTTCCTGGGTCTAAAGGATTTAGGAGCGATTTTCTAAGTAACTAAATTGTAGCTTTCATGTAGAACAGTACCTGCTGCACGTATTTTATATGATATTGTTTATTAACAAATTTAGTAGAATCGACACAATCGTCAGCTTACCTCCACAAAGCTAACCAATTGACCGTTTGCAGCTGTAACATTCATTCCCTTGATATGTATATCCGCCAAAAGAGCACGAGCTTCGGGAAAATCGTAAAGAAGATCAACCAAGTGCCGTTTGTATACCCTTCGATTGCTCGTTTCTCCTGTGATGGGGAATCCTACTGCGGAACAGACGACGACACGTCTCGTTAATTTTTTGACAGATACGCCAACCTATTATCATTGAAAGTGGCTATTTTTACTGCCAATTTATATGCTGTTGTTGGTTTGCACAGTCCATCGTGCACTGTTCTACGCTACTTGAACTTGTTACGGGAGTATATGAACGTAATTTTACTTCAGAAAGACTTCCTAAATTTAGAAAGGAGCTAAAGGCCGTATCTAAATGGTGATGCGACGATACATCTGGCCGGGTCAGTAGTTTACACTTCTCAAGCCTCGAAGCATAGTTGTCTAATGTTAAAACTTACCTATTTTCCCAAATATTTTTATTCTTGGTTGTCGCGGACATGATATATATCCGTTTAATTGGACCGCAGGCGCCGCTTGCCCGACTATAGGTACCATTAAACGGAACTTTCTTTGGAAACATTTATATGCAATAAAACGGCCGCCCCCTCCAAAAGACGTGATATAGTCTAAAGTTACTTCTACAGAGTGCCTAGGATAACTAGGACAACGCGTTACGGCCTCTCCAATGTCAATATGCAGCATCGCAAGTTCATCAATTTTAGGAGCCATCGTGTAGGTCAAATTCAGCTCGTTACCCCCTTCTACATACATATCTGTGAATGAAGCAACATATCAGTAATTATTTTTTTGAGAAGACAAAGACACCGGCTAAAAATGCTGTCAGAATCTATTTAGAAATGGTGCGAATGAAAAATCAGTGGATTACTTGCACCTAATGTATTTACGTAAGATTGTACTTATAAGCACGAAACAAAAAAAAAATATGCTCGGCGTAAAAATATCAAATACTTTTCGTGGTATAGAATCAATGCATGAATTATTTGAATAAATCAATTTAATAAGTCTATTTGTCACACATGATCCACGAGCTCTGACTGGCTTATTTCCAAGTATCTGCAATGGTACTTTTTTTTCGTTAGTGCTCATTCTGTATCATTTGTCACGTCCCTATTGAATCGCGATCTTCAATCAATTTCGTTACGGGAACTCATTCTGGCATTTTTCTTAAGTACAGAAAATATAGAAAAGCAATTAATGCTAAAAACAAAGAGGCTCTGCTAAATAATCTCACTAGTGTTGATGTAACAGTTCTCGCAAGTTCTCGTGTCAAGTATGCCGAGGGCGAAAAACTTCTCTTTTATTCCGCTGGACCCTATGTCGCCTAGAGGGAATATCGTCAATCTGTAATATTTCGAAGGTAACCAGGGGAACGCCATCTGCATTGAATAATAAACACACATTTGTTAGATACAACGTATTCTTCAGTCTACGTAGCAGGGCTCACAGCTCAAGTGCAAACCGTAATTAAACTGATTCAAAGGACGGCATGAAATTTCAACAATCTAGAAGTAAACCTTCACTGAAAATTACAAACCCTACATTATTTTTATATACGACTTAATTCTATCAGAATTATGTTTGATAAAATTACATGCTTAACAGCAACGTACATCTATGTATCATTTAGTACTTCATCCACTATTGTACATAAAAAGATTTTAATTCTTTTCTAAAGTTCACTCCCTATTCTTAATGCACTTCACATTCGTTTGGGCAGCAGCGCAGACCCACTTAACCTTGACTATTGACACTGCAGAATAATAAAGCCCAAAAGGAAAAAGAACTATCCCTTGCCTTGTGACACCTTAAGCATAATGATCCATTCCACATATAGAATACTATCTTTTTCTTCGGTGTTTATCCACCCTATCGAGATATTTGTCTATCATAGTGGCCTGTTCTATCAAGTGGATTACATATTTTTCCGAAGACGCACATATTTGTTTATAAACTAGAAGTGTTCAATTTTATCACAGTAGTAGTTTCCATTTTATCACACTAATAGTAGTAGTAGTAGTCGATAACCCCGTCTTTGATTGCTTACACCCACATAGGCTCAGGACGGCTCAATGTTAGGCCGGACCTGCTAGCAGGAGTCCTTAATTGAAGTCACATCATTGAAATTTAGTACATTTGATATTAAATTTAACGGATAAAGAATTTTCGTACCAAACCTTGGGTGGTTCCTTCTATGTGGTGGTAGCCGCAGAACCGATATGGGGTATCTCTCTGTTGATCACAGTATTGCACTGTATATATAAGTTTAAAGTTGTGTGGATATAGTCTTCTTAATATGATAACCGGAGTTGAGTGGCCGTAGTGAAACTCAAGAAAATCAGCCCTTATGGGCAGATTTTCTAGCTGCACGTAACCATTTTTCGAAGGTCCTAGAATGAACAAATTTGTTCTATTTGCATTTGCAAAATGAATATTGCTTTAGTATTTATCTGATAAATATGATTGTGAAATAGGATTTTCCCAAGCCATATTTAACTGTTCCAACTGCGCAATCAGCATCGCCTTTCGATAGGGCTACCAATTACAGCCACCGAAAGTCGGTATATTTTATCTTTATATCGGCCTACAGTACTAGCCTGAACGCGCTTTGCGTCTCTCCGATAAAACAGTTATCATCCTATACGCCGGAAGCCAATATTTTAAGATACAGTTGGCACATAAACGCATTGACTGAGAAATCAATGCATTTGTTTTCTTCCTCAAAGTCCTGCACCCTGCTACCTATCACGGGTGCAACCGACCGCTTTTTTGTATGCCGAAATCAAACGAAAGACTTTACGTCTGACTGATCATCAATCCTTGACGCGATAACTATGTAGAATAGCTAGCGGGACGATCAGCCATAAAGGGGTAACCATGCTAGCTATCCTTCGGTGAAGCAGTACTGACTGTTGACAGTTTATCGTAACGCTATATAATTAATTGAACGGTAAAATGTCAGCTCAGCTTACTTCAAACAATCACTGGTGTCAACAAACGTCTTAAACATGTATATGCTAGTTATCTTTTTCTCAAACGCCTCATTAAGGAAGACAATCACTAGCAGATTTACTAATGGTTAATTAAAGAATTGAGAAAAAGCGGTTGTTCTCTATATGCAACACAATCACGGCTATGTAACGATCGACTGCACTTATTCTTAAAAGTATTACCCACTATGTTATCTATTGTCTATAAAGGACTTTGATGCTCTATTATTGGAATAATGGTTTCAAGTAAACAAACCTCGAGGTTCCCAACCGTAAACTGTGCTCAAGATCAGCATCAGTAAAAAGTTTCGTTCTAGCGAATGAAGTATAGTCGCTTGATTAAACGCCGCCGATAGCCAGTTTCGAGCCATTGCTAGTTAGCTTTGTGCTCAGCGAACCCTCGCCAAATCCAAACCAGTAAACGATGACACGGATTGCTTGACTTGTATTTATAGTCTTAGGAGCCAAAAAATTATAGGCTAACCTTTACAGATTGAAAGGTCTAAGACCTGCTGTCACACAGCCTGCTTAGCTGCTTAACTGACACGTGTTGCAAAATAAGAGCGCTGCTATATATTAAAGATCGCGCGGTCGTGAAATCGATCGTAATTACTGACGCGAACCAAAGTAAAAACCCCATACGCTAGCATTTTCTGCCGAGTATCTAGCTAACAACAGCGAGCTGGCGAATGGCAACAGATATTGCACTTTATTCAGTAGTAAAATTAATTGATAATTATATTGAGATGGCACTGGAAACAACTTATTTATTTACTTACTATTACTGCAATTATATACTGTAATAGTGTATCTGTATTAATATACAATTGAGCACATATGTTACGTGTTGTTTTCGTGTTGATGAAATACTAATATACAAATAATGCATCGAATATTCGAAATACAACTATTCTATTAGTGACCGGCTGATCAATCTGAAAGACCAGAGTGCCGTTTTTTTACCGAAATTTCCCTTTTGAATGGATTAGCTAAGTTCGACACTAGCATGATTTACAAAGCAGCTTCCATTCGTCTGAATATTTCAAAACTTTTACAGGTTTATCGGTGCGATGGTTAGACCATTGCCTACGGTCTTCGTGATGACCTGTTTTGGCGGGGCGGACCTAAATACGCTGCGATACAATATTAACTAAACAATATAAAACGCGAAAAATGCTTGATAAAAGGAAAAGGGTGAGCTTCAAAATAATGGTCAACATCCGATGATCCACTTCTAGATTTAAGGCTTATTGATTATGGTTTGAATGGAAACCAGATGATAATTTACAAAGGCATAGGTTATATTTTTTGTTTTTTATGCTTGCTTGCAACGATTTTTATGTTGCTTAACATCCAAGAGTTCAAGAAGACTCTTTACTCTTTCCTGGAATCAAGAAAAGGACACATTAGAATGAACCATTTCATATAAATGAATCAGACAACAGTCGCTAAAGCCATGCAGTATGCTAGACGTTATACAGTTACTCACTACTCAGCCTCAGTGTATACTCACATTGTCAAGGCCCTCAAGATTTTTAATGCACTAAAAATAGTTTTACTCGGAAGCTGAGGATCAGAGAATTAATGTTCATGTCTTGCTTCAGTTCTGAAGTTGTGTCTGCAACTATAACTGAAAGACAGGAAGCTTTGCACTATTCATTGGACAAGATACATTTAGTCAAGAAGATGCCCACAATAGATACTTTCCGTACCATTTTACAAAAAGGCATTATAATTTATTGGCTATTACACAAAGAAAGCTAATAGAAACAATCATAGAAAGAAGTCCGCAGTTTGACCAAGTGTAACTTCGTTCTCACGAAGCCGCATTTCCAGAACAACGAGTATCAGTCATCTATATACATTACGATTTAATTCGGTAGTCATTTCGCGCTAAAAATATCAGTGGCAAAAAACTACAAATTTGCTCAATATTAGATCTTCATTCGCAGTTGCTAGGCTAGAACTTTCGGGGTAATTAAGAGGAGCCAGAGGATGACAGCATAGTGGGCACACGTTGTGATCTAGGTTTAACCCGAGCATAGACAGACTTCCCTTCGTGCTGGGAGCCAGCCGTGTGATAAAATTATGCCTAACGGCAACACCAGACATAAAATTAGAGGGGATGACAGCGTACACTGTCGAAATCATTTTGCGTACGAGGACTTATTCCCACTGATGATGAAACATGAAAAAGCTAGATAGAATATAGTAAAAAGTTTACACGTAATTCATAGACATACGTGATTCGTTTAAAGCTCGGGGGTTATCGCTTGAAAACATAAGACCTATTAATAACAGTTAATGATGCAAACCTTTTTTTTGCAAGAAGACTACCCTAAGACTGGACAATTCAGTATGGAGATCTGGTGGTTGTTTCTGATCCAAGCAACAAAGCTCTGAGGGTTATCTAAGGAAACAAGCTATCCACGCATTATATAAAATCTCTATTTTGGAACAAACGTATGCTGCATACCTCTCATATTCGCAGACCTCTCATACTCTGTTACTTATGCTGTTAGGCATTTACGCAGATGGCTGGTTCCCAGCACAAAACGAAACGTGCATACGCCGGGATTAGGTCCTAGACCACCACGTGTTTCTGAGTTAAGCAGGTGTCACATCACCCATTGCGTTAATATAATAACACAAACATTGAATCAACTAGACACAGAAAGAAATCAACCTCACTGTCAAAAAGAAACTTCTGACTGTCATAGATAGGTGTTGCTAGCTTTAAGCAAAACAGAATAAGGGCCCTTTAGAATACCGTGCATTCTATCCTAATATATGTTGATAGAGGTTTGAAACAAAAAAATGTTTATATATATAGTACATGTAGATCCAGAGTGACTAATTGGAACACAATAGCTAGTACTTATTCAACGGTATTCAAATAAGCTTTCCGGCTACGGGAAATGCAAACTTTTGTACGGTTTCATTTGATGGATGGTTTCATTCATCAAACAATGGTCGAACGTTACCGATATCTGTAACGATACCAGATGCACTAGGAGGGGTTCTAAAGAGCTTCGAACATTGTTTATCAACGAGGCTCTGTACAATACGAGCTGAACATTGAGGAGCCCCTTGAGTCTTATTATTTAGAACATTGCCTGTCTGACCAATTGTTCAAACAACTCTTTTCATCACAACTCAAGCTTCATTTATTTACTGAAATTTTTCGAGGTCGAATAAAAAAAAACATGCGTGAAAACCACGCATAACAAAGCACAGGCAGTGTAAAACTCCGATCTATTCTTAGCCAATCATCAACGAGGCAATTGAAGAATATGGCGAGAAACACTGAAAAGCAATTTTGAAAGCTAAGGCTACATATTGCGGTGCACACTTTGCAAAATTTTAGTTGGATCTTAATCTGCGCAACGCTTTTAGAAAGATTAAAAGCGTGACTGTCCGAGCTTGAAAATTATAGTTGTGAAAGAAAATTCGCTTAATGATTAATCAAAATCAAAGATCGCACAATCACGACTGTTTCATCCCGTGCCACTTTGTGGCCACTTCACAGCCGTAAACATATAATTATTCATTAACTCATATCACAATGTTTGTAGCATTACAAGTTTGCCACGCTTATCCGACGCATGTTCACTTCCTGCGGCCGGCATCCTTTAGCGCGTGGTTCGTTCACGTTACGCTGTTTAGTACTTTCCAGCATCTATTCGGATTCGTATCGGGTGAAACAAGCGGCCTAACGGTTGATATAGCTACCAGTCCTTAAAGCTGTCGAGAATGTTTTTGACGAGTACGCAGCAACAGACCGACACAACTGGACCTCTCGTCGATCCGAAGCAGATCGTACCATCAGCGCAATAGATGTAGTGATCGCGTTGCTCAACAGGGTGGATGCTCATTTACTACCAGCGGCAGATTCACAGATATTTTGTCGACAGATTAGGAAAGAACATACTTTCTTGGTTTTTCCCTTATGCCGACACACGTCACACCCATGTCGGTACGCACATACTTTGGCGCACAGTTCCCTTCCTAGGAAATAGCATGCCATCAGCCGGCTACAGTTTTTACGTCCCTGTAACTCCAATAACAAATTGGAAGCATCAAGACCTCGGTTGATTTTGAAAGAATTGGTCATGGTCTTCCGGTGTTACTCCGAACTAGTATATTTTCCTTAAGGATGAACCCATAGATTTTGTGCAACACTTGTTTTACCCCAACCCAGCGGGGACTGTTTAGTTAGTGCGCCATGATCGACGCACTGGGAAAAGTATTTTGACGTACATACGAGTTGGTTGATTTGCAGTACGGCTTTCAGGCGTCACAGTGCCCTCACGCCTGAAGTCTCCTATTCTGACTTATGATTTTCTTTTGTACTGAACGAAATTTAACTTCGAGTCATGGATGTTCCCAGTTTTATAAACCTACTTCTCAACATCGACTCTATATTGCGTTTTGCCGAGATCAAAAAACTTCTCAAGCAGGCGGCAGATCTGTGCCGTGTACAATGCGGATCCCATACTCAGGAGAATTCCCTAAATGTGGTTTGCAAAGTCAGTAACGGCATCTAGAGACTGGAGGATGCGCGTTTCTCAGGTCAGTCATCCGAATTCGATAGGAGCGTCCCAAGCGCATTTTTGAAAAAAGGAGACCGGCAAACAACTCATAAATTGGATGAATCCTAGTCATGCAGCTATCAAAAGTCATCCTGACCATACGCATTTCTTATATACTTAGGGTCCTGCGTGCTCTATACACTGAATGAAAACTGTTGAGAGGCCCGCCTTTCCAGTCCTTTTCACTCAAGGACGTGACGTGAAGTGGTGTCTTCACGTTAATGTCAAACAGAGATACGAACCGATAGCTTCGGGAGCTTAGCTTACACCTAAGCTGAGAATTAAGCCAGATCCATATCCTAAAAATACGACAATGGGACTGAAAGGGTTGTATGCACTAGGCAATACTTGAAGGAAACAAAACGGTCAACGGAAATCCGTTTCTGGTCCAGTACATCGTGTGAACGAGCTTCTTTACAATGGAGGAGTTTATAAGTAAAGTACGGCACACGACAACACCGCACCACGCTCTGAAAGAGTTTGGGTACGGGGTTTTCTACACCCACCGTATTCTCCAGACTTTACGCTGACTAGGTACTACCTTTCCCTAATTAAATTCGTAACAATACATTTAATAATGAACAAGATCTCAAAAACTAGCTGAAACCATCAGAACTAAAAATTGCTGATAAGATGGAAATCGGTTAAGAGAGGGAAGAACCGCAAAAGAATGACGATAAACACATAGTAGATATATTTGTTACTCGAACTTGATGATGCGGCACCTTTCAATTATGAAAATAACTAAAAAGTACATATCGGAGTGCATCCATTCACATAGGTACTAATTTTTGAGAATGATATTGCTGTGATAATGCTACCTTCCGACTGAACTACCAAACGAAAAATTAAGTTGAACACTTGTCTGCTATATGCCTACCGATAGTCGGACTTAAGTAAGGGTGCTGGTCCTCACGACTATTGCAAAAAGATCAGCAGAAATTTAGTGTAGCTACCATACTTCAGAGACGCATACGCATTACACGATAAGACTTTCAAATTCGCGAAAGTCAGCCATTTTACATCCGACAATTGTTTTGAAATACAGCTCAAATTACCAGAATAGAAATTGTTCAGTACGTTTCTTTCTTTCACACACACTTCGAGTCATTTTATTAGCATCAGTTTCATTCGTAGCTCGATAGGTAGAATTATACAATTATAAGTTATACAGACTAGTTGCGAGATAGATAGAGGTTTAGCGTGGACCTTTTACAAGATTCTTATATGTCGGTAGTACATAATTTTATATTTAAGCAGCAGCTTTCTTTGTAGCAACCAGTTCACGTAAATTGTCCTTACTCTCCCTGAGCTCCGATTCTAGATAGGTTTTATTAAACACGAGTTGATTGATTCGGTCTTCGGCGGCTTTATTTCGCGCTTCTAATTTAGCCTTGGCCGCTTTCTTGTTGCTAAGCAAAAACCTGGAATGTTAATAGCAACATTAACAATAATAAAACCAAATTGGCATTAGCATACTAACAGTTACTATTTGTAGTTAATGATGCAAACGGCGTGGATTTTTCAAACATACAAGATTTACTTTGGATAACATTGTAATAATTTTATGACTAATTATTTAGTTTCTTTGTTGAATTGTGTTACAGTGTCAAGAGTATCCGAAGTGAGTGTGCAATTCACTAACGGCAATTTAATGGAAAAACAAGCCTTACATTCGTCCAACTGAATCATACATCCGCGTATCTGCCGGGTAACTAGAGATGACTGAATTGGCAATATTGCTTTTCCGAATGGAGATATAATGCGATTCTATCTGAAAAGTAAGGCAAGTAAAAAAAAAACAATAGAAAGAAATCGAAATATTTTTTATTATGAAAATCTGTAGTTTTATTCTTCTGTTTCAAGCCACTGTTGGGTTAGTTTTCATGTATAGCTGCATTCAGCATTATCTGGAGCTAAATGGTGGAACAGGTTCGATACATTAAATGTTTTATACAAAATCAGTGAAATAAGGAATAAAGGCGATAAACCTGCTACTGCAACGCTGGTAAATTAGGTGTTGAAAACTTGCCTGCATATCTGCCAGCCGTAGCTTTCGTTGCGTATCCACCATCTTGCTTTGCAACTCCTGGAAAGCCTGAGACAATACAAACGAGAAATAAGGCAGAGCCAAAGATAGGTCGGGTCAGCGTAATTTTAGAAGGTAGAATAAGTGGGCTGCACTAGTCAAAAATGAAGTAATTTACACAGATTGAAAAATATGTACGAATCTGAATATATTTAATTAGCTCGAACTAATTAGAAATAACAACAATGAAAAGGTGATAGTTCTGTCTGGATTTAAATGTATTTGGACCATAGCGTTGTTTCAAAACGGTTTAATCAGGGCAATATATGGGATGAAGCACAACTTATTACTGAAAGCTCTAAAGTGTACAAATATAAGAAACTGTTTCAAAGGCTTCCAGTGCATATGCACGGTTTGCACGACCATGGAAACGGTCCTGCGCGTTGTTACCATTATCAGCTAGACTATGTCGAACTAGACCGAGTTCCAAAAATCTTTTTTAAACTATTTGAACTATATCATTTTGTAATGCCTTATTAGATTTTACGATTGGAATATGAAAAACGTACGATCCATAATCTAGAACAACACAGTAAATACACTCATTCGTATTTTCACTGACCACAAATGCTAAAGTGAATTGTAAAGCGCAGTATATCATATTGGGCCATACCTGTTTAAAAAACGTTATACATTGAATTTATATTCCGTTTGACGCAAACGCAAAGTCCGGCAAAGCCTGTTTGAAATGATGGTTTAAAGCTTATACATATCGTTTTTAAAAGCTTAATACAATCATTAGTACTTTCCAGGTTACGAAACATTCAGGTATGCCACTCTGTTCGTCTGTCGTTATGCCCTCTTTGTTTAGACTCAGATGAAAGAAGACATTTTTGAAGGCAGGTGGCGCGACAGCACCGATTAAGTTCACTAACTGGTAATATAAAAATACTAATTATGTTTATCTGCGTACAATGGTTAACTGAATGAATTTCCGGTGGATCAGTAATAAGCTCGAACGTCACAGCACGTTCTAAGTACACATCATACCATTGGAAGGCAAAATGCTCCAGCAGTGTTATGTTCTAACTAAATTCGCTCGATTACTACGACGTTCTTGGTTACTTTTTTTCACACACAACATCGCCAACATTTACTAGTGATTTGAGAAATCGTCTAAAAAGTCTTACTTTTTTCAGTTCCAAATCAGGCGCTGGTATGGCCGCCATGATGCTGCCAGAATCTGTACTGTTTGGGTGGATTCCGCCGAATACTTTTTTTCAATAGCGCTTCGACAAAACGGCGGGATAGTAGCCAGTAGTGTACACTCGAACTATTGTGTGTTAAGACCGATGCAATTCGACGGAGGTGAAAGTCGAGCTGCTCCGGCCGTAGGCGTTCATTTACACTGGAGTCCCTAACTCTGTTTTGTCCTATACCAGCACAAGTGCTGCGGTTTATCGTAAACCCCTGAGTCGCTGGGCGCGTTGGTGGTGTCGAGCGCTTGCTTTGAGTGAATAGCAGTGCAGTTCGTGGGTGTCGAGGTCGCAATCGGTGCCGCTATTTCGGCGTATTTTTGCGATTGAAACGCTAAACGTAATCAGTGATAGCTTGGAGATACAAGAACGTCGAAGTTAGCTGCTAGCCAAAAAATGAGTCCACTCTACAACACGGCTTCACAATAAGGCAAGTTTGAACAGAGTGCGCTGAAAAAGTTTGCTATCGAAGCATGTGCATTTTGACTTTGTTGAAGTGTCAGAAAACCGCTGTTGCTAGAATCGGTAGTGAATCAATGACATGATGATAAAAGGTTTGCGATGTACGAATTTACCTAAACTAAACAGAAGAAGTTTCATTCGATTGACATGTATAGGGGAGGAGGGCGGGGTAAGGGGCGCAAAAAGGCTCATAGTTGACCGCTGAACCTTTTACTTTGTTCGAAAAGTTGTGCCGTAGTTGTGAAACAGTCAGGCTGATTGGGTTATGAATTTTGTGAAAAGTTATATGTGCACGATAGATAAAACTATGGAATGCTTATGCGAACGCGTGCAAATAAATATGTGCGTATTTTGCGTTAATTTTTTTAAATCCCTTTTTAATTTACGAATGGCTCTGCTTTTTAAATGTTTTCTGCCTCGCAAATGTGAAAATTCAATGCACGATGATCCGTTAGGTTCCATTTCTTCAAAGTTGTGCTTGTGCACACTAGAATACTTCAGGCCTATTCTAATCGAAATACATAATTAAAGTATAATGTTTGTAGGGCGGATCCATACGATCGGGACGGAGAACACAGCTCGTTTAAACAAGACCAACTCATTGTATAGTAAGTAAAGAACTTGGCGCGCGGATTCCGACAGCATCATCTGCTATAGCGGCGTTTGACTTGGAAAAGTAGTAGAAGCATCGTAACTTGTCTCAGTTCTATTTATGTTTCATAATGTTCCCTTTTGACAGTTCAGAGTGAGGCTAAAGACAGCTGAAAACGAGTGCCAGGAGCTCCCTTTTTATTCCGGATGGCTTCAAAGATCATAAAGTTCGTGGTACGGTTATGAACTGTTTATTTTAGATGTAGTCGAAACTTTACTTAATGTGGGTGCAGCACCTTCTAATTCACATAGCGCTGCACGTTTGGTAGATGAATTCTGCGATTTATTTGCACGTAGAAGCACGACAGAAAACTCAGGCAGGATTACACTGCTTGCAGAATCGATACGATATGAGTATCTGACTCATCATTCATACTTTGGTTGACTGTTGTCACCTTTTTGTCGAGACATGCGTAAACATAAACATACCTTTATTAATATTCAAATGTTAATAATTAAATATGAACTAGCACGGCCGGATCGCGCTCTTTCAGTTCGAGTAATAAGCTAAGTGGAAAAAAATGTAGAATCTTCATTACGATCCATCGAAGATATTTTCAGATCTTTTGTCACTCAAATAATAAATACAATAGTTACACGAAGCTCAGGTGGTGAGGTTGCAGTAAGTTGGATAACTGGATCAGCTGTGCGTATTCTTTTCACTCTGTTTATGATAGAATAGGATGCAGCCTATTGTTACACATGAAGCTTTACTGCCAACAAATTCGACGCTATCATTACTATGCTATTGTTACAAAGTTTGATTTGTTGTCTCATATTCCACATGTTTTTGGCTTAGTTTGTCAATAGATTCGTCAATTTATGTTATAACGCATTGAAACAGATAGGCGGACCGTAAAGGAGGTTTCAACCGCTATCGTTCTGAAACCATCGTCGCTTGTCAACACGAAGCATAATAGTAGAGTGCAATAATATATATAGAAAGGATAGAAACTCTATCTTGAACGGGTTGTTAAATTAAAATTAATGCCTTACTAAAGCCGTCAGTAACGGTGATGGGTTTTGCTCAACCTAATTTAACCTTTTTGTTCTAGTCGAATCTATTAATGTATGGTAACTACTGGAACTGAGTACGCCTTTGCCTCTGTGTGTACTGTACGCGATGATAAAACGTTATTGTTTTCGCGTCATAGATAAACTACGTAAATAATACGAGTGGAGCGATTGAATGCCCCGTCGTTTGTTACCCTGAGCGAAACTCGATTGGCCAGGTCTTCATTGCATCGTTAAGAAGTTGGAAGTTACACACGTATCTCTAGTAAACAGCCTACGATAAGGATTAAAAGCAGTAAAGCTTTCGCTATAAAAGCCCACTTAACATTGATAACTTTTCTGTGGCAGAAAAACAGTTTATATCAGTTTCGCGAAAAGTTCTGCTCTAAGTTTACATAGCACATTCGTGAAACTTTCAAAATCTGTAAGTTTGGGTTTATAAACGGGCTTCTGCTCTACAATCTTTTCCACTGTAGAAGTTTTTTGAAGGTGAAAAATCAGTGATACATTGTTATTACCGATCAAAATACGTGTTTGATTTATACGAAAGTTATATGTCGCGAGAATGTTGTTTTTCAACTTGTTTACATTCGTGTTAGGCGTGGTAGCTAGAGTATATATATGTACTGTCAGAACGCTATAAGGTCATAAAATCCATGACTAAATTTTAAATACTCACACCCGTCTTATTTGAGACTACTTGCTTGCAAGATTACGACTTATCTCAATTCACTCAGCCCAACAAATCTTTAATCATTTTAATTGATGACATCTGCCCCTTGCGGAGGAGCGAAATATGCATACATAAATGCAAAGCTAGTAATCAAAATTTGCAAACGAATCGTCTATAGTTCCACTAATGTCATGCAAGAAACTGTGCATAAATCTTGTAGCGTTGCTATTACGGCACTTGACCTTTTGAAAGGCGTACTATTAGGCCCGAACCACGTGACACGATGGCCTACAGTGAGACACTTAGCGTCCACTTAGCAGCTGCTAACGGGGTTGAAATAATCGTCGTAATGGTTCGGTTTGTCTACTTCTTTATTTCTGCTTAACACAGGCGTTCAGCAGCAGCCCACTGTCAACAGTCGCAGAGAGAGTATCTCGAGTCTAACAGGTTCTATCGCTTCTCCGCCTACTTCAACCGCAGGGAATTTTCTTTGGGCTATGTATATCCACTATCAACTAAGACTAGACGAAACAGTCCGTAGACCGACTGACAAGGGCAGTCTCACAGCTTCTTCTCCCGTTGCTCGGTGCCTCGTCTCCCCATGACATTAATCGCTAATGGCAGCATGGGGGCGACCTGGTAAAATGGGCTGATATTAGTGTCGCGTGCATGACAATCAGGTGCGCGGTGCCGGGCTAGAAGGCACCGTTTGTTAAATAGCAACATCCCTTCCCTTCTTCCTGGATACGCGTAAATGCGTTGAGTCTTTCATGCGAAGGCGTACAATTAGCGAAACCTATCCGACCACCGCAGTGTATAACCTATTATTATGACGTAATGAAAACTTGCATTTTCAAACGTGCATGTGGAATCAGTCATGTTCCTGATGGTTGGCTTTAAAAGGGGCTATTTTTTCTGTGGCGTAAAAATACGTTTCTATCTCGCTGCAATTTACAAACTCACGTATATAAACGTACTGCTCCATTGTGTACTTTAGGGACTTCTCACCTCAATTCTTGTAGTATATATATATATATATATATATATATATATATATATATATATATATATATACATATAAAGAGAGAGGGAGACAAAGTTTAATATTGATATTCCAAATCATATTTTTTTCTAGTATTGATTTCTCCAATCTCATACATTTGTCGATATTACTATTAGCTTAGTACAAATCATGTACCTAGTATAATTATGTATCTATCCCTTAGAGCAAATAATATAAAAAAATTAGAGTAGATATTAAGATGTTTTTTAAATCAAACCTGCAAACAAATAAGTTTCTGTATAGATGTATTTAAGTAGATAAAGGCACCACGATCAACTAGTTGTGCTGGCAACCTTTGTTAAAATAAAAGCTACCTGTTCTGTTAAAACTAGTTAGTATTCAAAGTTATTGTTATGATTTGAAAAGAATCATTCAACAAATTATCTAATTATGTCAATTATTGCCACGCTAATTAAAAACTGTCATTGAGTTCGGTGCTGCTTAAGGATTATCTAAGGGTATTTTTTCCTATGTGGTTGTGGTGTATTACAGGATGCTTATTTTTATCGTAGTATAATGAATATACGATACAAATTAGTTGTATCATAGGGAACTCTTAATGATGTTGATGATGTTTGAATATGTTAATTTTGTGATGCCCTTTGTGTAGTAATGAGATGATAAAATAGAGAAATATATACCAGAGCTTATATATAACGATGGGAATAACATACACCTCCATTGTTGTCCCTCTTAGCCAATCACTTTATACACTGAAACAAATATACAGGTAAAATATATATGGTCACAAGTAGATAGATTATGATTGCCAAAATAGGAACGGAAATTGCTCCTATCTACGTTTCGCACCGTTATATGTGCGGTTATACAACTGATTTTTATTTATCAAGTTCAAAATAAATAGTTAGTAATCAATCCACTCGATCTCCCTTGCTAATTGAGATATGAAAAATAACCTTTCAGTATTCATCGGTGTGTTGACGACTGTACGCGTTGATTTTCAGATGTCATCGTCGTTTCGCTTATCGCCATTGCCACCAAAAGAGAGCTCCCCTGCCCTGGCAGACGCGAGCCAGGTGTTGGCCGCGGCTCTCAAAGAGATGGATAGCATCATTGCTTCTGCTGAAATTGATAATACTCACGAAGCGTCTGACGCCTACAATAATTCTCTCGAATCACTAGAAGCGCCGAGAAAGCATAGAAACAACTATGGAACCGCTATGTACCGTTCGCTTGAGCGTCCGTCAAAAAGTCGTCCTCGCTCTCCATATGCGTCGCTCGAACCAGCTAAACCTGTGGTGCTTGAATCACCTGTTTACAGAGAGTCGCCAGTCTCGACCGGGCGACTACTTCCATCGTCTATAACCTCGGACACTACAGGAACAGACATGTCGGACCTGTCAGAACTTATGACTCTCCGTAATGAAAACATTGACCTTAAAAAAGAGCTCTTTGAAATGCAGCAAGCATTGGCGATGCAGCGCGCAGAATCCGAAAGTCTTAGTCAAGAATTGCAACGAAAGCGTGCTCAGCTAGAAGCCGCTGAAGAGCAGCTGGCAATTGAGGTACGAATGCGTAAGAAAATCGAATCTGAGCGGCTCCAGCTAATGACAGATGTGCCGGCAATGAAACTTCAGCTGATGCGTTCTGAAAAGGAGCGGGTGGATTTGACAGCCCGACTCAAGAGCCTGCAGTCGGGCTTCCAACGAACGCTAAGCAACCTGACGGCGGCTGATCTATCAGGCGTTAGAAGTAGTACACCAACGCGGACTGGTCATTCTAACGCAGAAAAACCTCCTCTACCAAGACCAAATATGAGCCCCGTCTTTTCAAACACAATAGCCGCTAGTCCGTCATCGCAACGAAAAGCGAACAATGAACGCTTTCAGCGATTCCCTCAAGCAATGTATAGTACTTTACCTAGAAACTACAAGCCGCCTACAAGCGTCAGCAAACAAGAAAAGAGTACCAATGTGAGCTCAAATGGAAGCAGCAGTGCGAACGTTAGCGACGCATTTGAAGGTAACGGAGAGCTTCGGGCTCTTGAGGCACGAAGTACTTCCGCTCCAGAACTTAACAATCCTGACCGAGCCATTGGTATCAAAGGAACAGTAAATGGCTCAACTCTGATGCAGCCAATTATCAGCCATACGAGCGCACCGCGCAAGATACTGAAACTTATTGGAAAGCTTTCGAGAAGCAACTCGGCATCAAACTCATCAATAGGCAGTTTCAAAAGAAACACGTCGACGAGGGCAACGGCAATGCCACGGCTGTGCGGATGGAAATCAAATGAACATCTAAAGCGGCCACTTGTCAAATGGGACAAAAAATGCATTGCAAGTTTCTTTCAGCAGTTAGATTTATATGATTTATATGATAGTCATCTATTGGCAGTTCATACCGGCGAAGCCCTTGTACAGTTAATCAAGAGCGATTCATTTCAATCGACCATTAAACATCCGTTACATAAGCGAAAACTATTGCTAGCTATCGAGGTCTTTGTCCGAAACGATTCACTACTAAAAAGCGCAATCTGTCTAGACACAAAATGGGCTTTGTCTTGGCTTGATGACCTTGGGTTACCCCAGTACACCGATGCCTTTCAGGAGGCTCAGGTAGACGGGCTGATCTTAAATAACATGACGCTTGAAGACGCTGGCATTCTAAAGATAAATTCGCAGTTAGGTCTTTTGAGTCTGAAATGGGGTATTTATGTGTTGCGGTCAACGAATTTCGATCCTGGCTGCCTGAAGCGGCGGTCCGCTGATACGAAAAGAAAGGAGACGATAGATGAGGTTTCTTTGTGGACAAATCACAGACTAATGGAATGGCTTCGCGACATTGATCTAGCCGAGTATGCGCCAAACCTTCGCGGATCCGGTATCCACGGGGCTCTGCTTGTATACGAGGATAGCTTGGGCGAAAAGCTACTGGCGGAGCTGCTAAATATTGCGCCAGCCAAGACGCTTCTACGGAAACATTTGACGCAACAGCTAAAAAATCTATTAGGTGATGCTATTATCCAGCGTAAACGTGCGGCCGAGGCGACTTCGACGGTTCCACTGTCCCCTTCCACGAAGATTAAATTCCCTAAAGGAACACTGGGACGCCGCTCGAAGAAGAAGTGCGATCAGACGTTAGTTTGCCCATATGATCTTGCAGGTTTTTTGCCATCGAGCAGCGTTGACGCGATGACAACCTCGATGTCAACAGTAATGACATCATCGACGCATAGCAGCCTCTCGTCGAACTCAACACTGTGAGGATAGAGCGTGTTGAACAGATGACCGCAAGTGAACGCTGTTACGAGACAACACAATGCTCGCAATGCACAATGCACAATTTCGCCTATCTTTAGTCACATCTCGTAGAAAATGTTGTGAGGTGTCTAATCGCCTGTAAAAATCTATACGTGCACATATTACGCAGATGTATCGGAAATTTATGGCAACTATAATTAAATGTGACAAATATCAAAATTCAACAGAGAAATGACACTACGTACGCAGATGGCGCATTTTTTTAGCTGGTATCGCGCGGTACATTTACTTACTTATGAACAAATATACCTTGTGCTTACATTGTAAAGCCAACGACTATTTGACCAAGAGCAATTTCCTGCGCCCAACTGCAATTGTCAGTTCGGGGTAGTTCAAACAGGCATAAACGAGCCTTAATCAAATGTATTCTGATATTGTCCCTGAGAATCGGGTGGCACATGGATGGAAATGACGGAAGGTGATGCAATAATCGGGAAACGAATTGTGTAGAACGAATCCATGTATTAAATTTGTGCGAAATGTGCAAACCGTTCGACTAAATCATTCTGTTTTCCAAGCTTCTTTATTCGCTCACCCGTTGTTGGCGAATTTTTTTCCCTATTTTAGACTAGCAGCAAAGTTATTCTATACAACAAACTGGCACGTTGGCCTTAAACTTTCAAAAAAAGGAGCACACAGACTGACTATGTAGATATACGCGAGAGTATGTTTTGCCCTGTTCACACGGAAACATACTGAAAAAGTATAAAAAAGAAGAATTATTTCTACCTGAATATATATATATATATATATATATATATATATATATGTAACCATCATACTGATTAAGTACAATTAAGGATAATAATAATCACTATTATTATCATGAAGAAGCTATACAGCGTGTCTATATACTGGATAAACGGTAGCCAACGATAAAGGAGAATGCAGTTACGTTAAATGACTGATTGACCGAGTAATTGTACTTGGCGAAATATTGTGAGCTGTAAAACGAGAAGGAAAATCAAAATAAGAAAGCCAATAGAACAATGGTTTTACACTGTTTATCGTCTTATTTGAAGTTAGACCTGTAACTGGATAGAAACCATGTCATTCTCACGAAAGCTGTTAGTGTATAATCACAGATGACTAAGACATCGTTTTTGTGGGTAAACCAATCAGGAACATCTCTATGATGGAGAATTTTTAAAACGACGAGAACAGTTAAAACATAAAATTTAGGAAAAAAATAATAATTCATAGCCATAGTGTTGTTAATACATTTAATGTGATCTATAGGTGAACACAAGTTAGATAAAAATAAATAAGTATCAACCGCTCAGAAGTTGAAAGTATTCTCGTTTTTGTCTGTTCTAGTATCTCTGTGTATTTAGTTGATTTGAGAAAGACAGTTTCACCTAATTATTGGAACTGGTTTTAATGCAACTGATTACGTATATCTATTCACTCGAAAATATAGCTAATTGTTATCGATGTGGCATTGGGGACGTCAATAGCAGTATTCGCAAAACAGCTTCACCTGTTCAAAAGCCTCGACTGTCCTTTATCAGAGTTTTGAGCAAGAGTGTTAACTCCAATAAATAAAAGATTTCACAGATTTCATCGCCTGTTAGCCTAGCGAAAAAACCTTTTAGCACTTTTTGTACTGAAACGATCTTTATCGAGGTCTTGTTTAAAATCCGTCACGTCTGATGGATGTCTCGGCGTTTTCTAAGGAACTCGTTTGGGTTTAATAAATGTACGGTGATGAAATGAAAAGGAGGAAAATTTCAAGGTCTACAAACGAGCTGTACCTGGCCCCTGCTGAACTGCTGTGCCTGAGAAAAAAACACTAGTCGGTGAGGCTCAGAATGGCTGCAACGGTTCCCCTTCAGGAAAACCAGACGTTTAGCTTAATTGAAATCGCGCTTTTTAACTGTTAATTTAAACTTGATTGTTACATGGTTAGAACTGATGGAAAATACGCAAATCGTGAGGTCTGTCATAGGTTCGTGCCAGCCGGTATATAAGATCGAAGATGTATTTTGCTCCCACCAACTGGAATAGATTACTATTATTAGTTAGTATAGCTCCTTTTCAATACACATCAAGTTGCAGTTTATAGGCCTGCGCCACGGCCTCGTTTTATTCTAGCTGAATTGACATTAAAAATTATTATAATAGGGCAGCTTCGACTTCATCCAGTATTCCACGTACGGTCCGGATGCGTACTAGGATGTTGGGGGCCTGCCACAGTAGACGAAAAGTGTCTATGGCACTTAGGCCCAGGAAAAAAAGTTACATAGAGCCAAAGGATGCTGCTTGAACAGTAAATCTAGCACCTCTTCCTTTGTAGTGCGTTTCTAAAGTTACTGTATGAATATTTTTGGAGAGTAAATAGCCAACATACTGATTATAAAAGATCTCATTTCTTCATTGTACATTATGGACTAAGAAAGCAAAAATCTTTATTTACTTATGCTTTTTAACAATCAACATCAGAAGGCTTCGTGCTCCTTATTCTAATAGCGTCCTTGTTTAGCATGTGAAAACGAGCTGCAGGCAAGCTGAAGCCTAAGAGATGGAGGCAACGGATTGCTCATTTCGAAAACGCTTGGATATGATACAGATGATTACAAACAGCAGGAAATATTGTCTCTTTGAAATTTGACGATTTCATCTCTTTCATATGCCTCCAGGACGGTGGCATCAGTATCTATGGGCGGTCATCGGTCATTTCAACATCGATTCTGTTAATGGTGTTCAGGGAATTCTAGTTTACAGCATTGCTCGTTGTTCCGAATAATCTTAGTGTACCTTTGTCATATTTGTTTTTGTAATTTTCTTAATTATACCTCTTAAAACAATTAGTTTATAATTAAGCACATCTAATAAATACCGCTATTGTCATTAGTGACCTCATGTAGTACACTGTTTATGTTTTCTCGGGATGAAATGCGTCTTCATTCCCAACGACTGCCTTTGGATATTTTAGCCGTATTTAGTAGAATTAGCCATAAAATGTCTAGCTGTAAAGGTATGCGAACCTGACGCCCTATGTGCCAGAATTTTTTTTTTTTTGCATTTTATTTTACCATCTTTAACAAACTACTAGCCGCAGTGGTGAGTATATCACTTTAATTATTATGGTAGCAGCTCAATGCAATACAGACGTCTCTTTTACATCGTATGGTACGTTCCGCTTGGTTGACAAGTCGCCTCTTGAACCTGTTTTCGACCAACGATGTAGAAACTGTAACGTCTGTCGCCTCAGCGAAGTTCATGAAAAACTCGAACAGCAGGTACTGTACGGCAGTCAGCGATCTTAGCAACAGCGATTCGGTTACTCAAAACAATACCTTGTTGTAAAACTCATTTTGTTGAAGAGTTCAATACCTTTTTGATAAAAGGGGTCACCCTAATCGATTGACCGGCTAATTTTGACTGATTGTCTCCTGCAAGCTATACTGTCGAAAAAGAGATCTATAGACAAGGTAGTATGTCTCATGTCGTTAGCCTTCAGTAGCACATAATGGAGTACTCGAAGCTCAATTGTATTTGGTAGATATAAGTAAATAATTTTCACAAGGGCCGTGCTGTGATGCTTCGTACATGAATCGGTGATCTGGCCGTTATCATCAAGCGAACTGGCACCGTCATCGCAACGTAGACCTTCCGTTATAAATTAACCGACAAAGACAAAAATAAAAGCTACCCGAAAATGAGCAATTTTTCATCAATAGCTGTGTGCTTATGGTTCTACAGCTTCTAATATAACATACAATGGAATAAACAGTAAATATTTTATGAGTGAACGAATATAAAATTAAGTATCACAGTTACCAATTGTTCTTATGTTGGCATCAGAATAAAAACACACTCGTGGAGTCATCCATTTAAGGATTATCTTAAATTAATAAATCAATGATTAATCAAGGGTTACCTTGTGCAATTTTATACATTTATTTATTTGTTGGAAAAAGTTCTACCAGTAGATTGAATCACGAAGTCAACGGCGGCGTCCGTGAAGTAACTTTATCGATGAATCTTACTCAACTGCATCGTCCGCTCAAACAAGCCGGCGTCACAAACCAACGCGGCTAATAGGACGGGGTGGAAAACAAAATCAGTGGATTTTCGTCTACTCGTTGGCCAGTCGATGTTTTACGTGGATGTGATCCTGTCTTAGCTTTCTCTAAGAAATACCAAGTAGTTTCCGAGGCTCCTCCGCTTCCTGATCTTGGATCTTTATGGCGTAGCCATTAAAGCCCCGTAGGCTTTTTTCCTTGTGCTGATACTTTGGCCGCTGCTACCACAGGCTTAACGACTGCTTCTGGTCGCCGCTCGAGTCACTATCATACTGTACACCACTGGTTCTCCTATGTGTAAAACTTTCTTACTATGTTGATCTCGTCGATCGACGAAAAGGGTGCACGGGTGAAATGTGGGGCCTCGAGACATGGAGAGACCCAATCGAAGTGGAAGGCGTAGCCCGATGCATGCGCGTGCTTTTTGCTGCCATATGATATACATTGTCGATGTGGGTGTGCTTGTGTGTCTGTGTGTGTGACAGCATGCCTGTTTCTGTCGACCCAGCAGATATTGAGAAATCTATTTCCCTATAAGGGAAAAAGATTAGCAAAATATAGACGCTAGCCATTCGCCCACCCGTCAGGAGCCAATCATTTCAACAGCTACCATATATTTTGTGTATTTGACTTAGAGAACTGTTCGCCGAGTTATAGAAGTAGCGATGTACGCCGACGCGGACGTTACTTTTTCTTCTACGTAACATAACGCCATCGCTATTGCTTCACAACACACATTACATATATATATATATATATATATATGAACGGTTACGTAGATAACAATTACGTAGAACCCCAAAGCTTATGTTATTGAACCATATGTCAATTAAAGCCATAGCCTAATAGAAGGACATGTCAGCATTTGTTTGTTGTTTTTGTTTCTCCATTCTCTAAGGCCTATACTTATTCGACAGAGCAATAGTTACGTGACTAGCCTTCAGATATAAAAAACAAAACACATCGTGATGAGGTTGCATGTTTGATTTTATTGCCATACAATTGCTTACAGCAACAGACTGCCAGCATTATGCATATATTACACGGATCTATCAATCCCATGCTACCTAATATTCATTATACTGCTTGCCAGAGCGATGTACTACGTTTACTTTTCCATCTGATTGTTTTTGCTAAAATAATTTGCTTCTATCGTCTCATATCCTGCGGTATCTGCCATCAGAATAACATGAATAGGAACTGATAATATCGATTTTTTATTAATACGAAATGGCACGTATTATGAATATTCGAATGCGTTGCCGATCTTTTTAGCCTATCGTCCTTTGGTAACTCTGTGACTACGAGCGGAAGCTTTTAGAAGAATGCAAACGTCCCGTTTCTCTATGAGGACAGACTACTGGCAAAGCTTCGGCGGGCTGCTGTGAGTAGCTGCCAACGATATTGACGTTTCAAATAATTCTTTTGCAGACGCTTCACGCGCTTTCGGTCTCTTCCCTTTATAACTAAGCCGACCGGTGTATCCGACGCGCATCGAATGATGTTCAATAACGTGTTACCATAGGTAAGAGTCAAAACTCTGTTTGGTGACGTTCTTGACGCAATATCCGTACAGCTTGTTTGACTTTTGATAAACGAGCGAAATACCTGCCTGCTATCATTTCGAAGCCTTATGCAAGATGAGGCGTTGGATCCTGTTTAAGCTGTTTATATCACTCACAAGGACAACGGCCTAATATACGAAACACTCGAGTACATCACACTTCTAGGCATGATCGCAGCGGAACCCAGTTAAGATCCCCGACAGAAACCAACCAATGGAACCGCGCGTTCAATATCAATTGTTGGCGTATAGTGTCATAGCAATGTTACACCTTGCATATCCTTAGCTAACCCAGTGCTTCTGTTACGGGTCAACTGACACACGAAAAATACAAACGACATGTAAGTTCATTATGCAATGCTAAGCAATAGCATATTGCCATAAACCATTGTAATACTTGGCAAAGATGTTTCAGCTGATCTTAATAATCTCATACGACTATCTCGTAGGTCAACAATTATCATTACTCCGTAATCAACTAGTTTTACATAAAATTACGGTAAGAGATACAAATTGCTCAGCTTGTGTGAGGTTTCCGGCATATCTAAAAATAATGGAACTAGTACCTGTTCTAACTAGTTAGTACACTGGGATATTGTTTGAATTTTGTTTCGGTCACGTGTCATGTTCATATATGTGGGTATAATGAAGTTATAACTATTCTCATTTTGGTTAGATACGAATATTGATGTACATGAGCAATCAATAGAAAATATGACCGACCGTAGGCACAAATTTTACACTATATTCAATGGCACACATCGAGATACTTTGTATGAAGGGGACGTAGGCAATCAGATTCGGTGGGTTGAACTACTTATATCGTATTGTATAATACACGCTACCTGACTGATAAGATGCTCGAGTTCGTGAATGTACGATCCGGTTAATAATGCGTACGTGCTACCATAAAATTGCTTCGGTTTTGATAAAAGTGAAAAGCCTTTCTTTTTTTTTTTAGCGATTTGGTCGGACATTATACGGTACAATTTGCCAGGTGAACGGTTCAACCCTTCTTGGTTCAAAGTTCACTTCGAAGCACCTTCACAGGGATATCGACCTCTTGCGGCCGCTGTTTCTTGCGCTCCTCGACAGGTGGAGCTGTGATAATAACTTTGCCTCCTTCCAATTTGGCCTTAAGGCGTTCGACGTCCGCTTCGTCGGGCACGGAAAATTGTCGGTGGATTTCTCTAAAATGCAATCAGGTCAGTTAAAAAGGTGTGCATCATCAGCATTTAAAGGGATCGTATTGGCTAAATTATACCAGAAATTTTTAGCACAATATTAAAAGGACTGAGTGGCCGGGTAGTAGCCCGGTCCAGTTCGCGGCTATGTGGTTTGGTATTATCTCGTTAGCTGTGATTTAAGCTAAGTGAATGTAAGTTTTATAGGCGAAGCCCGTTCCCTCTACGAATATCACATTGCTTCATAAAGTCTGAAAAAGTGTAAAAAAAGCTTTTCCCCGTGACAAAGTTTGCCATCTTGTTAAGTTAAAAATGATGTTTTATATGGTTGGCTAAGTTGAGGAACCAAAAAATCTTGTCTTTATTTATTACCATGACGTTGACGACTAATAATTTTCCCTTTTGTTTTAATGGAGCGCTAACTTACCGAGGGGTATATTATTCACTTTTTCTTTGAGCGTTTATTAAGGGCATGCAGCGAGGCTCATTTGATCGTCGATCGCAAATGGGACAAAAGACATTTCAAAAACAACTCAGCGTTATAGTTATCATGATAACACCGGCATAACATATTAGTTTATAGTTCGTTATGGAACGTAGATATCGACATAATGTTGGAAGTATATGGACCATCTTCCTATGTAAACGGTATCATTGGCGGCATAACTTCGCTTCTGCGCCTGTTGTTCTAGTCGTGGCCGTGAATAGCAAGAGCCTGCATTGCCAATTCATAATGACACAACCGATAGGCCCCTATATGGGAGACCTCAGTAAGCAGCCATAGACGAGGCTACCTATTGCAACTACGTGCCGACGGTAATTCTACGTCTGCGGGCGTTAAGGGGCCACTTTTGTGGCCTCTGTGATGTGGCAGTGCTACGGTTGCATGCTGTCGGCAAAATCCAATGGACGACGTCAGTACCTGCTGTGCATAAGTTAAACGATTCACTTCGTTTTGACCCGCCCTCACGCTCATACTTGTTAACATACCAACAATCTACACTGCGCAACATTGCACAAACCAGTAACTGGATTGTAGTGTTCAACAGTAACAGCATCAGCGGTGATCTCATGGCCTTGCGTCGGTATCGCGACGCTCAGGCGTTACCATCGTGACCATGAACCGCGCATTACCATAGATCCCTATTTCAATTATTTTTCTCTGTTGTGACACAAACAGATCCTCGTTATGCATTCCAACAGTTCCACGACAGCGCCCTCAGTTTCCAACGGCTGTCGCCATTTTGATTTCGTGTATCCGAGCGGTTTAGAGTACAATCATCATATGTAAAATTTATTAAAAGCAGGTTGCCAAGTTTATAATGCAACTATCAAAGCTCATTTTTCATTGAAACGTTTCGTTACAAGTTTCAATGAGCGGTGATGCTTGTGATACAAATAACAAACTAATACTGTTACAGATGTCCAAATCAGGCAGCGACCATTACCGACAGAACCTTATTCAATTCGAGCTGAATGCCAACAGTCCTGTTTTCGAAAAACTAGGTTTTTAGTTGGCGACTGACTTAAAACCTAGCTTGATAGGTAGTCCAACAGCCGGAAGCGGTAGAAAGGTATTGTTTCCTACATTCCTTTGGGCACGCCACAACAACGTTCTTTTTTCCTTCTTGATCTCTCGCGGCTATTAGTCGTAAAATATCTGTTTTCAAGATACTGTACAACTCTAGGTTCATGCATTATTCCAGGCCTAGCTGCCATGGAAAAGAAAGGAAGCTACGTGAAACTAGGCTTATGGCGCTTTAGGTATGATTTGCACTCTTGACTGATATGTTGTATTGGGCCATTACTGCTCGCCGCGATCAGGAGTCGTAAGCGTTGCGTTGGAGTACAAACGGTCTTTTGGCAAACGTGCCTAATCGCTAGTGTTTTTGTTTCGGACACTTTAGCAGGTGCTGCATGGCTCAAACTTTGTTACTTTCGCAGGACGTCAGTCGAGGGCTGATTTTAATTCCATGCTCAACAATGCGAACTTCAGGGACAGAAAACAATAAAGCAACTAAACTCAGCGTTGTGAAATAGAAATCGATCTATTATTTGATATACAGATGACGGACGCTTGTTGGAAGCTTTCCTACACTAGGAAATTCAACAGCTAAATCATGGGTGTACATAATTTGAAGTCCCACACCGCAAGTAGATTAATTTGTTCTTCGGACAGATTGCAACAAAACGTGGACTGACCTTTGTATTTGTGTATACGACAGTAGATAATACACACCTGCGCTCCAATGCCTGGATAATCGTCTCGCGATTATTTTTGAGACATCAACGATAAAAATAGCTTCATATTTGGCTGACTCATCGTTATAGGTGCCAGATATATTGCCGTTCAATACACGTTACGTTAATAATACGTTGAAAACAAGACGCCGAAACAGTATTCGCTGAAAATCTCTTCTTTTTCTTTTAGGGTTTGTCTAATGTCTTTGCAGTCCGTTGTCGGTTGGAAAGTAATAATTAGATCTCTATTGTCTTTTGTCCGTCGCGAAACGCCGACTAGGAGCAGCTTTCGTGAAGACGTTCACGTTCACAGGCTGACTTGGTTAGAACAGCGATCGATATAATAAAACTCTGTCACAGATGGCAAAATGACAGCCTAGCACGATTCTGTTTAGTAGGCAAGTATAGCTAAGGCTGAAAATATAATATTCTCTCAATTATTCTCAGAACAGAAGATCAGGCCAGTTGGCAATGTATCTAGACATCTATCGCGTTTGTCACTTGCCTAATCGTTATGCTTCGATGTTTCAGTTGTGTTACGCAAAGCGCTAATTATGCCGTATCCTCAAAATAGCCGTTGTGCAAGAGTGCTGGCTCAACAATACGAAATGTTTGCACGAACGGCACTTCTGTCTTATGAATTTCTATACACCATCTTGTTTGTGAAGGGCGAATGTGTTTATGTAGACCTGTGCCTTGCCATCCGACCTACCTGAACGAATAGTCCCGGCCGTCATTGGTCCGCTTTTCGCTTTTGGCTGAAAAGGAAATTTCGCGACCGCGAACGCGAACCTGTACATCCTCTGGCTCCGTCTTCTCGCCGGTTTCCAGCTCAAGTTTTAGCAGGCCACTTTTTGTGTCCTTCGAGAATCTGGGCTGTGGGGAACCGATTCGGTGTGGGAAGTCTGCGTTCTCAGGAAACATTGTGTCAAACATCCTTAAACGCCGCTGTGGGCTCAGAAACCCGCGCACCTGTGAAGTAATCGCAATTTTTATTAACAGCGGACAATCTGGTGCCAACTTTAATGTCCGTTCTTTTGGAAGTGTATTAGATTAGGTGTCGCTTGTTGTGTTGAACTTACATATAATGTGTATGTAAATGGAAAGTTAGCTATAAGAAGCCATGGCAACTTAATGAGAAAACACCAATGTCGTATTTCAACCTGTGCGCAAATACGACTAGTGAGCTTTCTCTTGGATCGCTTTTATGAACGCAGGACACACCCAATAAGCATTTCGATGCTAACGTTGTCAGGTTCCTTCGCCACGAAATGTGTTGCTCCCACCCTACCTCTCTCTAATCGGCTGACGGATATTCACATTTAATAACACTTTTTTATGTACTCGTTGGTGATTGAAATCGCTTGAAAAATAAAAGTACCAAAAAAAGAACGTATTTCTCTTATGAATACTAAAAAGCCCTAGTATCTACATTGACAAAAACCGAAAAACGGGTTCAAAGTGGTGAGCGCATTATTAAGAAACACGTTTGAGAGAAATACGTAGCATCCGCTATTCGATTTCACTTATGTGTGGAGGTATTATGTTTAATATTGGCGGTATACTCCTTTACGCTACCGCTAGCGAGACAGCGCCTCCCTATGGAACCGATGTGATCCTAATCAATACATAATCTGAACTATATTAATTAGGTTCAATTTTGACTACCGTAAAGAACACGGTCAACTCCAGCAACTGCCAAAAACCAATATGTGTATATACGTTACTGTATTTACCTGCAAGCGTTCGCACCCGGAAATGCAAATTCTAGAGAGAGAGCGAGAGAGAGAGAGAGGGCGAGGGGTTTATCAAAGCTAATTTTCATCGTTTAATCCGAGCTATACGCTTACGACTAGACGAGGTGTTTGTTTTGCTCTGCGGCAGATTTCGCTTATCGACGAAAATTCGATCTGACGACAGTAATCCTTTCATAGTTTGATGACGCCTGCTATTTGTGCTGATATCTATGCTTTTCATCGACTACGTACAAACACTGCGTTGTCGTATATCTTCTGTCATTCAGGAAGATGTATGGACTTAATGTATGATGTAAGAATTAACGCTATTCCACCTCAGTTTCTTTGGTACAATTAGCAGCGTATTTGAACTTCACTAATGTAGCAAACAGCCTAGCTAAATATGAAATTGTACAAATACAATGATCGTAACAGCAAGGTGCTAAAATTGAAGTTCTATTTATTGCGGTTATACAGCTACATTCTATAAGTTCTAGTATCACTGTTAGCAATTCCCTATGCGGCGTGTTTCGGTCGGTTTAGCGACACCGCTCGAATAATGGTCCGGAAAGGTCCTTTCGAACTCGCCATGTTTATACACATGTCGTGTGCTAATAAAGCGGGAGCTTCAGTTGAATGTGCGCATCGTCGTCAACACATTGACGGAATGAAACTTACATCTCCGAATGTAGGCCCGAAGATCCTCTTACGTTCACGTATCAGTTCCTCGTGCATCTCTTCCATCTTCCGATCAAACCAATCCCAAAGATACGCACGGTCGCCAGTAGGGGGCGGCGCCGATGAGCCAGAACAGGACCCTTCGCGATGACCACAGTGCACGCACGCACGTTCTCGCCCATTGCTGTCCAACATTATTCCTGAATCTGTTGTAACCTGCTACAGATCTTCCAAAAGCACTCGAGGCTTCCCTTGTAGACACCTGCTTAGTTAAGTACAATATTAGTATTAGTCACAAACTTGTCCATATGGATATATGCCTATGTCAGATTTATGGTTCTTAGAGCAATTTTCCTTCGATGAATTCTCGAGCTGATCCTGATGGATGTTCTAACATCGAATAACTGAAGCGTTTACAACAATTTCTTTGCTGAATACAGTGGCAAGGTAAAAAGGATAGGGATTCACGCGCACCTGCGAGGTGAGCAAGCTCGAACTTGAGTTAATAGCGTAGCTTGGCTGGCTTTAACGCTAACCACTTGTGTGGAAAGTTCGTTTGTTCGCTCACTCCATCGGTACATCAGACCGTCTCCCTTCAGACTTAATCAGATGGTCTTGGCTACGTCGATATCGACGAACAGACGAATCAGCTTTGGCTCTACAGGCCACTGCCTCTGACTTACGTCAACGCAAGGGGACAGCGTAGGACAGAGGCGCATACTACTGCTGCTAGCTGGCAATTTGTTGGCAGGGCGATGGTTCACACGAACAGATATCTACGACTGCCGCTGCTCCTCCCGATTAATGCCACCGATACTGAACACAAGTGCTGTTGCAACAGCTACCTTGTCGCTGCCGCTGGCAACCATCTCGAAAAGAGACGGTAATCCTGAGGTACCCTCACTTCAACCGTCGGAGCGGACGAATAGACCTACCAGTGGAAAGGCCATCAAACACTAAACGGTTGTTAGTACGTAGGACCGATAAACGGGCGGCGGATCGTCTGGTTGAAGGGCTGGCTAGTTCACTATGAGCGAACAACGACATAGCCGTTGTAGTGGTTTTGGTGCCGACTTTAAACGTATCCAAATCGTATTAGCCGTGCATTCCCACCAGCAATAGCATCTGTGGCTTTATACGGCGCATCGTAATGCATCGAACGTGAAGCGAGGACCCTCCTAGTTCGTAGGATGAGAAGACAATGAGAGATTCTAGATTCTGACGAACTGACAGCTAACGAGCTGCTGTCGCTAATACACGTACGCGTAGTTCTCCTGCTGCTGGTTTTGCTGAACAAAATAGCGGAGTAAGAGTCTCGTGTCTTATGGCTGTTGCCATTACGGTCACTGAGGAAAATTCTGGTACGTTCAATTTATCGAGTGCTCTGCTGTTGCCAGCGTTCGTGTTTGGTCGAAATGCTGAGAAACGCTGCAAGCACCCAGTAGTCTCAGCTGATAGTCATTGGCTTACCCGCTTATTTTTATAACTCGACAAGTGAGCCAGCACACATTTCGTTCAGTTACGTATAGATATTATTGCCATTATTGTAGGATGAGTCCGCCTCCCGAGCTCGGTCAGCTGCACGAATCGAGAAAGGGCTACGTGAGGAAGGCATATGATGGACGTCGGCTGGACGGCCACGATCGCCCGGAAGTACAGGAGCTAGCGAGCGCCACCGAACCGAGGACGGCACAGTTCTGAACAATCTACTTGAACTCATATTTATAGCATTGGTAGTCATCGGGATGATTGGTAGGCGCCAGCAGTCAGCCGGCCAAACAGGCAGGCAAATAGACGTTCTTAATCGCGTCCATGGCGGGTCCATGCAACAACTGTTACCACTGTCGACGGTATCCATCAAAGTGGCGAACTTTTGTACTGGCGTCTAAGGCGGTCTGAAGTAGCAAAAAAAATTCAGAGTATGATACATTAAACGAGCAGCAGTACTTCATGAGGAAGGAGAAGACCAGATTTAACACGTTACGTCATTAAGAGAAGACGACAACCATAAAATAACCATCGCAATAGTAAAGTGTGCGAGATATTCTAAAGAGAATGAGAAGAACAGGGTAGTTGTTCAGCAGCGTATTGTTTTCTGCTGACAAAGCGCCAATAATGCTTTGCCGACATGGTAATAATGAGGAAAGCAGATATAATAAGAAATAACACTTGCAAATGAAGGCGAAAAAGTCAGCCATAGATTAGACTGCACATTATGCGAGGTTCAGAATTGCAAACAGCGTGTACAGTATACAACTACTTTTCTCCAAGGACTATGCCAGTGCTGAGAACTATATCTAGAATTTCAATAGTGGTGGATAACAAGTCAGATATAACGGCGATGAAAAGTTACTAGTTGAAGGCCAGAAGCTTTACATTAGCATACGTAACAAGGCTTTGAGTACAGATCAAGCTAACTAAATTTATATGACGATATAATAATGAGAAGTGTTATTATTTTCCGGAAGGCTTATATACATCTCCGGAAGGCTCAAAGTATTATACATAAGCAACATAGGCAGCTAGGAGTATAAACAAATGGCTGGATTTAAAAATGAATATACACGACCGCATAGAGCTGTTTTTAGCTTGACCTGTTTTTACTTAACCCCGTCGTCAGCTTTCAAGGTATCTTCTATTTTTCGGCTTTTCTTATCAGTAACAATTGCTGACGGCTAACTGAGTCTACACTAAAAATCATTTTGGATTGGGGCTGTCGGGACAATCTGCAAAATATCTAAGTCTACCAGAAACCGTTCCGCCGTCACGCAGCCAGTCACAATGCTACACAGTTGTGCGCATCCAGATAGAAGCGTTTTAGTAATGTTTCAACGTCAAACGATGTAGGGGGCCAGATGTATCCGTTAGATATCCTGTTATTGCAATGTTTCCTAAGACATCCATAGGGTCTCAAGTGTTGTAGAACTCGACATTTAAGGATACAAAAATATTCAAAATAGAAGACTAGCGGAACTATGAATAGATAAATACAAGTTGAAAATAAGTAATAGCATCAACTATGCGCAATTCTAAAAAACCAAGACCCTGGTTGGCGTGGAGTGCGGCCAGGATGGCTGGTCGTTCCAACGAAAACAAACCCATCAGTTGGCGTTGAGCCATACGGACGGCCCGCATGAAGTATGCTAACCTTAGCGATGCTCGAACTGTCGTAAAGATAATGAATGTTATTTTTATTAACTATGAAGATAATTGCGAATCTTAACCAGTCTTCTACCAATCATCATACGCCTTATAATGGTCTTGCACGTTCCATCGGTTAAAGTCACGTACACGTTAGTCTATCTTAGGTTGTGTTGCAACGACTGAAAAGTCACCAAAAACTTAAAAAACTATATTTATCCAATAACTAAACTTTATCTCGTGTGCTCTACGAGGGTGCTCTACTGTGCTCAGGCACAATTCAATGGCTACATATCGTAAAGCGTTTAAGCCAAATTCTAATAGCATGATAACATTTATCATTATAAGGCATATAAATAACTGTTACCTATAATATGCAGAGTCGATACTCAACTAAATAAACCCAAATAAGCTTAACTAAATAGTTTCTGCTTCAGCCGTTTAATCAGCTGCGCCGTATCTAAACAAAGTATTTTCGAGTGGTTTTGTGGTTAATGAAGGAAGAAACTTTATACCGGTGCCCTGCATATCGATAAAGACATCGTTTGATGAACACTATATTATGTAAAATTGACGTAGCGTGTTCCGCCGACCGCATGCGTAACAGTTAGCTGAAATCAGAGTTCAGTATTTACGTTAGCGTCTCTCTCGTTCTATGTACAGCCGACGCATTCTGTCTCTTTCACACCATCTGACGCGGCTGTCGTCGGGACTGATCAACGAAAAGCGGTATTGTTTAAGACTAGTCTAAGTGTCTTCTGGTGATTTTGTGTCCTTTCAGAGGTCAAGAATCGAAGTGAAGAGAGGAACAGATATCACTGAGGGGCAGAAAACACCAGTTAGCAAATGTCTCCGATAGTTTCTTCCACAGCAGAATACAAGACCGTCGACTTGTTTTGTCGAAAATTGTACTCCGTTATCGGTTATTTAAAATCGCCAGTGGAGGTCCACGAAAACCGACATTGGGTGAATAGCTCTGAGACAAAAGGGGCATTTGTTTTTTTTTCTTGTTTACGTGCGAGCCTTTAATGCGCAAAAATATCGCACTATCTACTCCCATAACGTGGATACAGTAGAACGGGCGTCTCAGCTTACTATAGGTTAAAATCAAATGTCTGCCAGGGTGTTTGTGTTATTATAATTATTATTGGGGGGGGGGGGGGGCTAGGACTAGGACCACGGAGTCGCACCAGACATAATCATTGCCATACACCTGGTCGTATTATGCAGGACGTTTTGGAATGGGTTGTTCCGGCCCTTTGTTTGCCGTAGTACGGGAGAGAGCTTGGACGGCCAGAAGCCTTTCCAACAAACACTCCTATCTTGCTCGGCAGAGGGCGCTGCATGCACGAGCGCTAGGTTAACACAAATGCTTGCCCACTTCTTTGTTTAGGACCCAAGAAGCCGGAAAGAAATGATCAGTGTTTACTGTTAATGACGAATTATCATTACTTTCACTACAAACGATCACGGTTATGTTGTAATACCGTTTATAAGGCAGACAGAATTTTGACACTCGAGCAGATAGGTGAAACCTTGCAGCAGATTAATGTGGAAAGCCAACCGATGACCGAAATTTAATTCCTTAGTGAGACTTGAATTTCTTATAGATCTTTTTAAATTTGAACCTATTAAATTATTGAACTCTACTAAATTCTATGAATTGTTTGAACCTGTTCTCTGTATCGGGCGAACTCTGCGTATCCAATACCTTCCTTCCGATAGGCTCCATTTGTTGTGATAGCTGAGCCATATTTGTAAAACTGAAACGAGACAAATTCCTATCTGTATTTGAGGGTTTTTCTGAGCAAATGAAAGCAAATAAAGTTAACTAGTGCGCATTAACAAATGCATGGAACGAAACGATCGATCAGACATCCACGGCTCTGAAAACGTTTGACTGCCTCAAACTCTGAGACGAGATCGCTTGAATCGACGCGTGTGTTGCACTCTTTGACATGAGATTATCTCAAGAATGTGAGCACGATTTCTAAAGACTTATTTTAAGGCTCTGTTTATGGTCGCACTTTCTATAAAAGCAATTTACAGCACCGCAGTGAACAGCGAATGATGAACCTAATCGATTACTGGACGTTGCACGGTGACATGAAACACATTGGCTTTGCTCGTATATTCGGCCACCATACGCGTGAAATACTAGAAATTTTCAATTCAGAAACCTCTAACAACAAGCAGATTTATAGCGCCTCGGCAGGACCGTTCCCATAGCGTGCCGCGATCGATCCTTGTGTCGCTGACATAGAACATCAGAAGACTTCGATGTTCAGCTCAAATGAAACGGAAAATGCTCAGTACGGGGTTTCTTGTAGCACCTCGGCGGCTTTTCACCTACCGCTTTACGCCGACACCGCTTAGAAGCGTTATTCCTAATGCTTGATTAGGCGTAGGTGGCCAATTTCGATAACTGGCCAGCATCTATGATATGTATTGGCGCAATAACTGTATTAACGTACCATATCTTGCGTGGTCTAAACAGCCCTGTAACGTGCATGATCCTGTGAAGGCCGTTCACGATAATTAGGGTCGATGAACACATAAGTGAATCGAGAAGGTCACAATAGAGGGACACCTGTTTCGTGTCTACGGGAAATGTGCCCGACCATCTCTGCATAGTCAGATTGAGCTTTCACGTGCAACACAACTTACGAGAAGCATCTCGTCACCAATTTCCGACAAGATCGGCCTATGGAAGAAGACTCCGCTATGGAAAACAGGAAACATCAGCATACATAATATAATTCATGATCACGAAAGTTACAACATCAAGAAACATTTAGTGGAACAACTTTACATGTGTCTAACAAGCAACTTAAGTCCAGTACCTTGAACAGAATGAGGAAGTTTACTCGTTTCGGCCAGGGTTAAACGTTGGACTATGCAACTAGCAGTGCTGTCTCTGTCTCAGTGAGGCTAAAAGTTTAATTACTAGTTGCTTAGTTACTAGATGGAGATAATGCATCCAGTCTGTTCTGAACAGAAGCCCGCCCTTATTGCTCACGAAAAAATCTGTGCAATCAATATTCGTTGTGTTGAGCGTTGATCGAGCGCAGAGCCAGGTCAGACGCTATAAAACAGCTTCGTGGTTCCCTCA